ATTCAAATGCTCTACTTTCCTTAACAACAAAAGCAGAATGTAAGATGATATCAGGAGGGTTGCATGTCTCAGGCAACATCTAAGAACAGGACCAGGATCCTGACCCCAGTGAAGCCACCACCAAGATTCTGAGGCTGGTGTAAGGAGGATTTTCCTCTGGTCTTTAGTGCACAGTGAGGCCACCTGGCTGAAGCCACGTCTCCAAAACAAGAAAAGGAAAAGCACAGACAGGACACTGAGTGAGGCAGAGCAAGGGTTACAGCAGCAGGAATTCCCAGTTACCTGAGTGGCTGTGCTTATCCCAGGGCTCTATTGAGATTTATGCAATCTCATGTTACACTTGCTTGGCACATGAATCTTTAGTGGGAATTTGGAAGAGGAGGGATTGCTAGCTGGGGAAGAGAAACTGGAAGGCTGTGGTGGGTAGGGATGAATATGCCCAATAGCACAGTTCTGCACTGTCTGGGTTGTGCAGCCCAGCATTTATTCCCTAGCAACCAAAAGGCAAGGGAAAAACTCTCCCACTGCACTGGACCACAGCTCCCTATGGTTTCCTAAAGCCAGCAGCCTGACTCCACTGCCCTGCAGAGCCACAGTGACAGAAATTTGCAGTGCTGTGAGGTCCCTTTCTTTCCCAAACACCATTTTAACCTCCAGTGTGCTCATTTTAATGGATTAAGCTGGGTTTGGGTTTGGTCTGAAGGACAGTCCCAGCAAGGCTTTTGCTAAAGCCAGGCACTGCTGCTCTAATGAATTGTTTTAAGCAGCAGGTATTTCTATTTATTCTGGCATCAAATAAAAACCCGCCCTGGAATATACAGAAACATTCAACATGAACCACTATGGAAAATGTTTTTAATGTGAGAATTCCTTTTCCACTCAGAGCAAACCAGCTAGTCTTTCCCCTTTCCTTGGGGATGAATTCTCTGTTGTGACACTGGCAGGGCACTGGGAGGAAGATTTAAATGAACAGTACAGGCAGGATGACCAGAATTGTCTCCTGCTGTAGACAGGCCAGCCAGAGATGGCAAATGGCCAAGGAAAAGGTAAAAATGTGCAGTCCTTTATTCAGGTGTTTTACATGGAATAAAAAAGCCTACTTGGAGACACAGACCACAGATCCTGCTCTTTTGCCAGACCTGGGCATATTTTGAAACACTTTACTGCGATAAACTGCCAGGAGATGGGAATGTTTTTCTCCAAACACTGATTCACTTGTGGAAAGAGTCTGGAAAACTATGTCTCTCAATCACCTCCACTCTGTGCTTGGTTTTCTCCAGGCAGCTATTCCTCCAGCTCAGCCTGCCCCTCTGCAGTACACACACTTACTCTGCTTTCTTTTCCCCAACATCAAGCCACAGAGGAGCACATGTGACTGCAGCAGAGGTAAAGTCATTTTTAACCAGGGCAATTTAAGGATATTTAAGACACATTCTCATTTTCCATTTCCCAATTCCACACTGCCCCCAATTTTATTATTAGCTGAATACAGGGAAGCTTCAGCTTGGATCTGGGGTAACATGTACACTGAAGAATGAAGGCCAAGCTTTGCCTTCAAATATGCAGGATCATTCCTAACTAACCATAAAGCTGCTTATTTGGCACTGGCAGTGGAAATATTGAACGAAAGGGGCATTCTCAATCTGCTTATGTCACAGAAAGGTTGGATTCTGACAGTGTGCAAGGCTCCAAGCTGCAGCCTGATATTAATAGCAAGACATTAAACTCGCAATTTGGCTGGCTGGGAGGCAGCTCTGCTGGAACACAGATTTTTCTGCAGGAAACAGCAGCTCTGGGTGAGGGATGAGCCTGAAGCAAACTCAGGAATTTTGACTGGTGTGTGACAAAGCTGTGTCACACAAAGAGAACCTTCCTGCTCAAACTGAGGAGCAGATCCCACAGCAGAGGCTGTTGGAACACAACTGCTCCACACAGGAATATTGTTTTCTTTCTGCCCACCTCCTCTGGAATGGAATCCATCTATTCCCAGGCCTACCTTACCCAACCAAGTAGTGCAATGAGCATTAACAAACTATTTCTTACACAGTTGTGGTTCTGTTCCGTGGTGCAGACAGTGGGGTATCACCCCAAGACATACCTACACATTTTCCCCATTTTTGAGCTTGTTTCTGCCATTATGTAACCCTCCATACTACCCTGGCAGCTGGACCAAGAAAATTTGAACCAAGTCCCCAGAGCAACTGGTTTCAGTGAGGGGCCCCTGCCAGAACACAAATACAAACCTCCTGCTGCTGTTTTCTCACCGTGTCTGCATGGCAGGCAAAGATTCCAGACAGGTTTTTCAATATGGATCTTTCAGAGCACAAATGAACACCTCCTATGAGGCATTTAAACTTCATAATCCCACTTCCCAACAACAGCTGGGCCTCAAGGCTTCCGCCAGGGTAAGTTCTGCTTCCTTATTTCTCATAATGTACAGAAAATCAAGGTATTGTCACTGAAATAGCATTACCTACAGTACTATGAGTCCTCTTATTTCAGGACATATAATCCAAGAGAATCCTTAGAGTCTCTTGAATATCACTAAGCAACATTAGATTCTGGACTTGTACTGCATCACAGCCCCAGGAACCCCACACTCTTTACAGGAGACCTCCCTAAGCCATGCAATCTCCTGTAGCTTTGCACTCAAAATCCTCACTTCACAGAGGTAGACAGAAGCATTCAGAATGCAAGTGACTTGCCAAATGTCACAAAATGAGTCAGTGCCAGAGCTGGGAATCGAAAACAGGAGTTTAAGAGTCCAGATTCTCTGCCTTATATAGAGCAGCAGCCACAGTCTCCTGGTTTAGAGAGTGTGGCTGCATTTACAGGATGGCAGCAGTGGCATTGCAAGGGCCAACCTCAGCCACTAGCAGGTGTGAAAACACACATGCACCTGCTGAGACCCTGTTCTTCATCTGTCCAGTGTAAAGCAAGAAATGAAAGCAAGCTGCTGTTGTAGAGAACTTTGGGGAGTGCAGCAACCTCAGCATATCCATTAAGACCAAACGCGACGTCACTCGCTGGACTCTTCTTGCTCCCACTCAGTCCTGCTGATTTGGAGAGGAATATCTGGGAGCTGAAGCGAGAAACAGGAATCTGGCAACAGCAGAGATGGTTGAAAGACCAAGATAAACCTTCCTAAGCCAGCATGGAGGATCAGTGGGCATCCACCTGTCTCAATTGTTGCACTCATATTAATCCCAAGTCAAAGCCAGGCTACACTGCTGCTCATATCACCCAGGTGTGTGCACATGGCATGGAAGTCTGGCTATTAAAAACCCATTTATCTACAACTGACACCTGCTTTTCCCAATTCTGACAAAGGAGGAAAACCAGAGAATCTTTTGCATGGTTAAAATTTAGTACTACCAACATGAATCACTTTCTCAAACCAGCTGCATGCCACGAAATAACATTCATTAATTTATTCTTCCTCTGCCATGAAAAAATGCAAATGGCACAACAAGGCCAAATAGGGCACAGAAAATGTATAAGTGAAGATATAAGTGCTTTGTTGCCACATAATCAAACTCCCAGAGGAGAAGGTAGGAAAAGCAAGACTGAAGAGAGCAAAGAGGCCAGACTAGTTTTGTCCCAGGAATATTCACTTTCTAAATATCTTGGAAAACTGAGCTGGAAAGAGTAACAAGCGAGTTTAATCTTCATTGCTGTGATCATCTACTTTCTCCACTGCAGCCATAGTCTGCAGTAAGTTGTAGCACAAGAAATAACTTGGGTATTGTAAGAACAGAAAAGAAGTCATAAAAATATTTCCTTAGTCATGCTGTCTCTGGTAATATAATTCCCTGAATAAAGATCTTCAACAATACTCTCTTTAAATATAGAAAGAGCTCTGACTTTAGTCAGCATGTGTATTCCATCAGCTTCTCTCTCTTTCTTTTTTTAACTTCTTTATTGTATCTTACCACAGCCACCTCCAGGTGCAGGCACACGGTGTAAAAACCTTCCTTGGTGGAAGTGTGTTTTCCATTGGACACAGAATAAACACATTGTGAGGGATTCTAAATGGAAAAAACTTGGACACAGAGGCCAGTCCTTGCTCATGGGTAAGTATCCTCCAGTTCTGTATTTCCTCCTTTCACCTGATCCCCACACCAGGCAGGGAAGGAGCTGCATTCCAAGATGAGCCTTCCACAGGGCTCCTGCTGCATTTCCCTCCCTGCTCTGCAGCACCCACCGTCCATAACCCCTGCAAGTGTCTCCCTGAACACTGGAGTGTAAGAACAGCTGAAAATTAGGATCCATCTCAAGTTTACACAGAATGGAGGATGAGGGGCCACCTGACTTTGAGGCAAGTCTAAAAAAATTAATGCCATCATCACAGAGAGAACGTTGAGCTGTGTCTCCAAACACTGCTGCCACTGTGGGGATTAAAAAAAAAAAAACAAAACAGGAAAACACTGTGAAGGTTACTGCTACCTGAGTGAAATAAATAAACAAAGTATTTAATGAGTGGGATGTAAGGACCCTGTGTATGCAGGCTTTGGATACGAGTAAAGGCAGTTAGGAAGTAGGAGGAGCAGGAGGCTGAAAAGAAGATTTAACTTGGCTTTCTCACAATGAGGTATTCTTCTCCAGTGTCTGAGTGCCAGCTTGATCTGGGAATGTCACACAGGTTCTCACAATGGGAAATACACTCCTTGCTTAGCAAATTCTTGTTTGAGGTGAGAGAGAACTGAAAGGAACATTATACAGACACACCAAGAGTCAGTTTCTTCTGCATCCACTCCAAAGAAGCAGAAATACTCAAGAATAACTCCTGAACCCAGAGACTTCCAGGGCTTAGAAGGGGTTAAAATTTAATGGCTTATTTATAGCTCATACCCTGCTCAGCTAATCCATATCTGCATCACAGAGGTACACAGAACAGCACAACCAACATTACAGCAAACCAAGGAGTGAGAGATTGCCCAGAACACTCTCTCAGCACAGAGGTGCCTATCAAAATACCCTCCCCTGCCTCCTGCACTTACCCACAGTGTCACAAGGCTCGTCTTTGTGCACGCAGAAATCTGTCCTAGAAAGAAAAACAGAACAGAAGTGAAATGTATCCTGTGCCTCCAGCCCAGGAAGAAGCAGTGGTGCATGACTCACATATCATGGGTGTTGAGGTCTGGGGATTTTGCAAGGCTGCTGTGCAGTCTACACAATGACAACACAGCAGCCCTCATTGCTACTGAGATTACAGGCCATGATGGGAATCAGCCCCTTATACCACAGTCCAATTATCAGAGTTAAGAGTCAACACCTAAAAAAGCCCTGCCTCAGTCTGTGATGTCACACTTATTCCACAGCTGGATTAGAACTGAAGCTCTTTCCACAAGAGAATTGTAACAATAAGGAGCAGACACCCTGTGATGCACCCTAAAAGACAGTGGGAGCAGGAGATGTGTGAAGGCACAGAACTAATGATATGCACCCAGAAATTCTCAATTCTTCACTAGAATAGAAAAGACCATGAAAAAGCAGGACTAAACAGAGAAAGATAGATATTGACACAGAGGAAGAAAGAGAATGTCAGGATTTTCCTGGTAATGGGTAAATTGGCTTCAGCTAAAATTATTACACTCAGATTTGCCATGTTATGGTTCAAATCCAACACAGAGAGGTTCAAGAGACCATTTGGTTCCCCACATCTCACCAAGGCAGGAGAAGTGGCACCCACAAATTAGCCAGGGATCCATGGAGCTGTATTAAACAGAATAAAAGCCTTGAAGCTCACCACCAAAGCACTAACACTTCATGTGAGAAGAATTCGTACATGAGATTCCTCATGACAGAAAAACAAGTGTGCGTGTGGGAAAAGTATTTTATAACTAAATTAACAACTTGAATACATTTCAAGAAGCACTTAGACCTAAACTTTTAGGAGCTCTCTTCACCAGGGGTGCTTTGCAGTGCAATCCACAATGAAGAGGAGCTGCAGAGAAACATCACATGTGCCAAAACATTTCAGAAGTTCCTTAACCCAAGAGAAGCTAAGGAACTGTAGTGTCTGTCACTGTGGCTTTCCTCACCCTGGGAGGAGGCAAGAGAATCCTACAGGTACATTTGGAGTGTGCCATTTGAGATGCCTGAGTCCCCTTGGGGTTAGGGGTTTAAGAGTTTGGCAGGAGGAAGATCAAAAATACTTTGAGAAAGATAAATACTTAGAAAAAGAAAATACTTAAGAGAAATATAAAAATAGATAAATATTAAAAGTGCTCTTTCCCTGAAGAAAGTTACGCAACTAGGGTTTATAGTAAAAGGGATTTAAGGCCTAGGACTGTGGCTGATGAATTCAGACCCTCTACACCAAACTCCTTTGAAAGCCACAAATCAAGCTGTCAGGGGCTTGGAAGGAGAGCACAAACAGCCATTCCCAGCTCTTGTTCAGCACACGTTGAAAACCAACCACGCTTCAGTGCAGAAAAACCATAACAACCATCAAAGTGTTAAAAAAATCAGACAGGAACCAACCAAAAATCGGAAGCTACGACCACACACCGGCCCCAGCTTTCATTTTTCACTGCAGCCTGTGTCTCAACACCTTGGCATTCCAGCCTTCCCAAGGAAGACTAATGACAGTCTCCTGACGGAGCTGGCACCAGCGCGCCTGCTCGGCTTCCCAGAGCCAGCTTGACAGAGGTTTATTTAAGGACTTATTATGTTATATAAACTGCTAAATCAAACAGATGCTTTTCTTGTGACAACAGATAGCTGAACTATTAGTGGATGGCAGGAGGCCACAGCTAGAAAAGCCTCTCTCTCTCTCCAGAGCCTGTCCAGCCCTGCAAATAATGCACAGAATTTCTGCTCCTCGCGCTGGCCCACACCAAAAGGTGTCTGGCACTTTCTGGCAGCTCCACAGAGGAATTACCACCATGCTATTAAATAAGAGGTCAGTAAATGACCCAGCACAACTTGTAGACTCTCCCACAGAGGCAGAACAACCATTGTGTGTGAAGAGAGTACTGTGATGCTGTTTGGTCAGGGAAGGGCTTCAAGCACATCAGCAGCAGAACTGAACATCGCTGGCAATTCAAGTACAAAACCTGCCCAGCCCATCCTTAAAACTGTCATAAACACAAGACCAAGAGACTCCATCTTCTGTTCAAATATATGTACAAAAATGTCAGGATTTAAACCATCTGGACCATTGCAAATATTTGATCCCAAAACTCTGTGCCCAAACAGAAAAGCACATCCAGACTTTTAGTCCCAAACCAGCTTGGTGGGTCTCAGAAGGACACACCTCATCACAAAGCCCATTGCTGAAATTCTTCAGTCCTTCCCTGGCAGCCAGAAGGAAAGCACAGCATGGAAAGGTGTCAAGAATGATCTGTCTCACCTGTGGTTCAGGCACACCAGTGATTTAAATGGTTCCATCCTGGCACCTGACACTGATCTGCTTTTAAAAAGGTTTCAATCACAGGTGATGCCAGGTCTCTCTGGCACATTTTTGAGCTCAACTGCATGGGTAATTTTTAAGTGAGAGCTTGATATGACTGATACTATAATGATACTCAACAATGCAGGAAAGGTATTTTAATATTTATTGCGTGTGCAAAGGTCTCTTACCACAGAGACACAGTCCTGTTAGCAGAATTTTTTACAGGGCTGTGTTGAAATAAAACTCTTACTGCAGGAGCTGCAGTTGAAGTCCAACATCTGACCTTATCACATGAGGTCTTGGATAATACATTGAAATCACAGCTCTAGCTGTGAACCAGTTTTACTCTTCACTTTTAGCCATTGACTGATTCAAGCAGGACACAAGTTCTCATCCTGTGACCTGTGAAATTCTCAGTCATTATCATGTGTGGCACCCAGCAGAGGTTTCCATTAGCAGAGTACAACAATTCTCAAAAAAATGACAACAAGTTAGTTGTTTTGTTCAATAAAAATAGCTAGAAGAGCTCAGAACTCCTCCTACAGTCACTCTTCCATCTGGCTCCCACCAACTGGAAAAAAATACCTAACTGTGCTAAGCTGAACTCTGCAATTCAAGTCCTTCCTGTGAGAAAGAAGGACAGAACTTGAACTGTGCAACAGGAATAAGAAGCATTCTGTTAAGTGGCCATTCCCAGCATCCTTCAAAGGACATCTTTCGACCAGTCTAACCCTGCAGGGTCATAAAGCTAAAGGACACAGGAAACTGGTGCAGTCCAGAACGTGCCAAAACAAACTTTCCACATCCATAGGTACATTCAGCAGCACTATGTGCCCAGTTTCCTCCATGCACAGTGAATTCCTCCATTTGCCCATTTAATGGGAAGGCAAAGAGCTGGAGAAGTGTGCAAGGGAGGATCAGGCTGCAAATGGAACAACTACACCACTGTGTCAGGAAAAAACAAGTCTTTGCTTAAAGACAGCTCTGAATCCTGTTCCTGTCAGTGTTGGGACTGCTTTTCTGTGCTATCACATCACCTACAGTTTAATAGGTGACCCAAACACCTCCAGCCAGGAGCTGGGATAACATCAGTGTGCCTGAAGATTTCCAGGGAATGCAAAAGACAGAGGGATCAAGAGAGGGAATGTGTTTCAAATGAGACATGCTTCTAAAATCACTAAGATACCGATTCTGCAGACAGAAGTTATTCTTGTCAGCTGCCTGTTAAAATATGAAGTACACTATACAAAGATGCCAGTGACTTGAATTTCTGCAAGTTCAAAACCAGAATCTGAATGAGGAAAGTCTGATGATTATAGAGACCACAACGCTATATTCAGACCTTCAGGGTTGTGGCAGATTATTCCCACTGTCTCACTTACTTACTGAGCTGGACAATGCATCTTATTTCACAGACACATGTGTCCCTTACCTGGAACTCAGGTGGATACCATTAAAATCCCACTAGAGGGATAATTAAGTAATCTACTTTTGCATACAAACGAGGGTATGGGAAACATCACTTAGAGGTGAAGTTTCAAAAGGCAAGCGTGCCTTGGTGTTTCTAATGAACCCAGCCGGATTGGAACCAGAGGGATTTCTTCAGAGCTTGACCCCAAAGAATCTGTTTCTAGTCCTTAAAGCAGCTGCAGCTGCTGAAAATTCAGCTTCTGCTTTTTCTGGCGCAATTGCTTGTGCTGGACATGCTGCTGCTCCCACATCCTCTACCACTGGTCCATCTGCACTGTCTGGGGAGGGTCCAGGGACACACACACACACACACACATTTCCAAAGCCCAGAGGAGTAAAATTCATTTCCCTGACACAGGAATGGGGCTGCTGGCCCAGAAGTCCTTCACACATTGCAGCATCCTCCATGCAGCAGAAGCAGGATGGGTTAAGGATGACAGGACACAGCAAGAAGGAAGGAAAGACTCCCAGTACACACTGCTGGACTATCCAGCAGCAAAATGCTGCTCCTGTGCACAGCCATGTGCTCCCTGGCCTGAACCTTCTCACCAAAGCTCAAGCTGGTTTCTAACCCAACCAAACCTGTACTTTCCCAGCTATTCCCACTCCAAAACCCTGCTAATCCATTGAACAATTCCTCCTACAAATACTTCTGCAGCTCTTCCTCAGAAGCCTGAGTCCAGCTCATTTAGCCTGACATTATGCATTCAGTTTTGAGAGCAGCAGAGATGAAATGCTCTGCTCATTCCTCCCACCCTGTGCTCAGAGCCCATCAGAAGAGATTCCCTCTGCCTCACTTGTCATGCAGGACAACTGGATATTGAGATGAGTTTAACAAAAATGTTAGTTATTTATTTAGGCCCTGATCCAGTGGAGCACATGCTTAACTACAACCAGGATGTGCAGCCCGTTGACTTCAAAGGAACTATTCCCCCTGTCTAAACTGTCAAATATCTGCACAAGGGCCTGGTGGCCTGCAGTGAATACAGAGCAGGGTGCAGGGCTTGGGGGAGCTGCACACACGTCTGTGGAGGAGATTTCTCAGGAACTTTGCTGGCCTCATGCCCTGCTCACCAGCTCTTTCACTGAACACTCACCAGAATCCCATGGACAGTTTGCAGTGGGGCTGTTAACACAAATCTAACACCAGAGATTATTGCAATCGGGATGGCAGCTTATGCAAAAACATGTATTTCTACTTAAATTGTTGGCAGAGAAAATAAGTGAAAGAGGTGAGTAATATTGAACTGCAATACAGCCATTTCCTGTCTCAAACTGGAGGACAAGGGGGTAGGAAGTAGTATTTTTCTAGCACAATGGGCATCTACAATACACTATAATTTTGTGCTGACTTTCATTATTCAGAGATCACTTCTGTAAAAATGAATATTTTTACATCTTAAAGGATGCAAAAAACTTAAAACACCATGAATTTGCTGTTCCTGTCAGAATTTGTGGTAACTGTGGGGAACATGGGATTGCATAGTATTGTGAGGCTGAGCTCAGATAGAGGAAAAAAGACTGTTGTCCCTACAATGACCTTTTTCTTGCTTTATTTGATGCGTTTGACACATCAGTAAGATCAGAATTACAGGGGGCAAATCATTTTGATCAAATATTTCTATAAAGATCATTTGACATCTGAAATAAATGCATGAGCTTTCAAATACACAAACCAATCAGGAATGACATCCCTCCTCTATCTCAGTTGTGATAGAGAAGAGTTGTTAAGGTGGTTATTTCCTCAGGCAAAGAGAGAGAAAATTAATTTAGTTTATGGTATTTCTCTCCCTCTTTCTTCAGGAGATAACTCCCTCCCCACTGCTGACACACTGTCTGCTCAGCTGATTCACCCCTAATTGCACACAGAGCACCTGAGCTCAGCTGTGTTCTCAGTTCCACATCTTCCTTCTCCTAGGAAGGAGGGCTCCAAAACCTCCCTTATTTTTTCCACTCCTACCAGCTGGTGTGAGAAAAAACCACTCCTGTGTTACAGCCACATCCTGACTGTGACACCCTGGCTCAAGAGGAGAGATGCTTTTGTACAGCCTTGTTAAGAATGCACAAAAACAAGACAGAGCACTTCCACCTGAGCCACCTGAGCAGCAAATGTATCATCTTTTTCTTAGATTTCTGCTGGACCAGATAACCCCATCAATGACAAAAGGCATTACTGGTTGAAGCAAATTGACAAACCAGATCTTCCCATACCTGGTCACAAAAACAGCAGCATCCACAGGAGGGGTGTCATCCCTGGCACCAGGAACCTGGTTGTTACCAAGGTATTTTGCCCCACCATATTCTTCATTTTGCCACTGACAGAAGCTCTCCAGAGATCTCTCTCCATGATGCCCGATAGACAACTTTGCCTTTGGGGGAAAAAAAATAAACATAAATATATATAAAAAGGAAAAACATCAGCCCCAGTCTTTAGATAAAGCATCAGACCTCTCTGTAACAGCTAACTCCAGACTGGTTTGCAGCTGCAAGCAGACAGCTTTACCAGGAAGGATAAATAAAAGGATCCTGGATCCTTTCACTCCCACAGCCCCTGTACTTCCCACCTTTAACACTGCCTGGTGAAGTGGAACAGGCAACTCCTCAGAGTTTGTGATGCTGAGGCCCCACATCCCCCTCCCACCCTGTGGGACACCACAGAGCAGTTCCAGGAGCAGGGCACAAAGGGGCTGGAACTCACAGGGCGACTGTGAAGCAGGACTAGTTTGGTCACTCGAATGTTGACTTTAATTCCCAGGCTTTGGTGCTGGAACATGTTGTACACCTGTCAAAAAGCAAAGAAAACATCCACAGCTTATTAGCAGAAATATCAAGAACTAATAATAGTAGAAGAAACTAATTGTGACTAAAGTTAGACATTTCTCCTTTTAAAAATTGACACAAAAACTCCCCCCAAATGGATTGTGCTACTACACTCAATAAAATAAAGTATTTTTAAGAGTTACTGTGAAAAGGAGAAAAATATTCCAAAGGAACTATAAAGATAAAGTCTCAGGAACATGGATCTACATTATGAAGCATTCAACTAATATGGATCTTCAGCATTTAAATATCAGAGATATCTGAATGCAAGATGAAATAATGGTGTGTTTTAGACTTCAGGAAATAGAATGGAAAAGCAATTTCCCTCTGTTATTTTCATATCTTATATAAGAGAATAGTAATAAGGCAGCACATAATGACACAAGCCTCAGGAAATACAAAAATAGCACCGGAAACTACCTTACTACTTTCTCCAGATTTTGCATTCCAGCTCAGATACTTCACCTCATTTTTATAGGTTAGAATATAAGATCTTAATTGATCCCAGAATTTTATTCCACACATTTTTCAGTGTACAAAAGTTTTAACTAGACAGTATCAAAAAAGGTGAGGGAAGGGATTATTTCAAAAGGTGTAAAATGCCACATAAAAGGCCTTGGGTGAATATTGTATCTCCTATTTCATCAAAAAAACCAAAATCAAGACCAGTGAAGAGAGATTCCTGAAAAATGGGAGGCAGGTTTGGCCCCAGGTAAGCAATATTCCTTCCTTACAGCTCCTTTGGCTACAAGCATCACCCAGACTCAGAAACTTCCTACAACAAACCCGAGACACAAGCACATCTTGCACATCATGTTTTCAACACTTGGTATTTTTCCTATTTGTGCAAATGCTCAGGAATGTGCTCAGTGGAAGAAGCTCTCCAGTGTTTGGGGTTGGATTTAAGCACACACATAAATGTTTCCTACAATTTAGGCACAGATTGCAAGACAGGGCTATTCAGTGTTTGACCCAGTGACCTTCAGCTGAGCACAATGAGCCATTTCTCTTCCCTGGGGCTGGTGTACAAGTGCACACAAGGGCTGGCACTACTTGCTTGGCCTGGGGATGTGTTGGGAGAGCAGTTCAGGCCTCTCTCTACAGACCTGGGGGGGATAAACTTGGCATTTGCAGAGAAGGGCTCTGGCAGATGAACCCTGTGTAAATGGAGACCTGGACATTCAGCTGGGAGGGTCAACCCCTGCTGCACCACTACAGAGGCTGACAAACACTTCCCTGGGATGGATGGATGGATGGATGGATGGATGGATGGATGGATGGATGGATGGATGGTAACACTTCCCTGGGATGGATGGATAGATGTCTTTGGTTTCCCAGCTCTCCACCAGCTCTGGCCATCCCATGAAGTTCCCACTCATGAAATGAGAATATTGGTTTCCCAGCTGTCCACCAGCTCTGGCCATCCCATGAAGTTCCCACTCATGAAATGAGAATAATTCCAGCTAACAGGTCCTTATCACTGAGCCTGCTGGGTGCTGGTGCTTGGCTTCCCATCAGAGCAGCCAAGCTGCCTCCAGAGCCAGCACAGATAAATCCAAACACCACTGACTTCCAAAGGCTGTTCGCCCTGGCAAAACTTGCCTACCAGGCACCAGCTGCTGGACAGTTCAGGATTTCATCTTGAGAGCTGCCAGCCCTTCCTCCTTTTCTCTTGTGCTCTCTATCCCAAGGACAATTCTGACTGCACTTTTATTCCCATCCACCAGTGATATCAGAAGAGCTCAAGCAGCAGCAATTGGACACTAAACCAAAAAAAAAAAGTGACTGGGAGTGCAAGAGGCTCCACTTTGCTTGTTTATTCAAGCTTTGTTTGCTTATTTTCTTAAATGAAGGCCAAAGGAGCCCCAGGCTGATGGTGGTTTGTGTTGCCTAGAAGGAACATTAACCTTTCCCTCTGAGAGGGAGATCAATTAACACTTAAAGGCAACACACACTTGGCTTGGAGAAAATTTAATTTGCCAATTAAAATAATATACAGAGAAAAAAAAATATACAGAAAAAAAAAAAGAGATACATTAAAACAACACCTTCCCCTCAGCTCATCTTTACTCCTGCATTCCTGACTCCTTCCCCCTCACCCAGAGCCAGGCAGGTGGATGGGGAATGGGGACTGTCCTCTGGACCAGCTCTCTCTGCTGCTCCCTCCTCACACTTTTTCCTGTTGCAGGAGGGATCCTCTCCATGGGTTGCAGGTCCCATCAGGAGAACCTGCTCCAGCACAGGCTCCTCTCCTCAGGTCACAATGCTGGGAAAAGCCACCTGCCCCACCATGGCCTCCCCACAGGCTGGAGGCCAACCTCTGCTCCAGCACCTGGAGTCCTCATCCTCCTGCTCTGACCTGGGGGCTCACATGGAATTTTTCCCCACTTTTTTCCACTATTCAGCTTTTTTCCCCTCTTTTGAAGATGTTTTCACAGAGGCACCCCCAGCCCTCCTGACAGGTTCTGCTGTGCCCTGTGGTGAGGGCTGGGACCATCCGTGTCCAGCACAGGGCAGCTCTGGATCTCAGCCTCACCCACACACTGTCCTGCCGGAGGAAAACTTCTCTCAGATCATGGGCTTTAAGGCTACAAGGAATCCCATGGAGAAGGCAAACAGACTTTTAAATTACTTGATAAAAAAATATGAGCCTGACACAGCTCGGGTTGTTCCCAGCTGGATTTAAACCAGGCTGTGCCAGGAAGGCTGTGCCCAAAGGAAGCATCATCACAGAATCCAGCTGAATTTAAAATAAAATAATTCAAATACACAGATCTTTCCTACTAAGAATGGAATTCCATCATGGCAGCAACAACCTTCTGCCTTTCTCAGCCAGCCAACAAGAAAGCCAAACCCCAGAGACTTGGTGTGTCTGAGCTGTTCCACACCACGTCCAAGTGTCCACCAGCAGCACGTGCCAAGTGAGGTGGCTGGGATAACTGGTACCAGGGGATGAGGAATGGGATTTCCCACTGCAGATGTTCTCAAGATTTCCTGCTGCACAGACAGAGACTGACTCACAGGCACATCCCTGCCCACTCCCAACACCATGGGCCACCCTTCCTCAAGCCTGCAATTGCATCACGCCCTTCAGGCTGCTGTGACTTCTTCCAACAGGGGAAAAGTAAAAATATTTGGGTGGTTTAGAACCTTTTAATAAAATAAGGCAGCTGGGAACAGAAGTGTCAGCTGCATGAAACTCTGCCATGGAACCAAATGCAAAGGTTACTTGTTTAGGACATCACCAAGTGGCAGAAAGCAGCTTGGATGGAAAAGAAATGGAGGTTCTGGATCATTGGGATGAGAGGATGGGATGGGAAAAGTGGTCAGTGTGACTGAAGTGTTGTGGGTGCCCTGCCGCAGGGGAACTTCTACACTTCTGTATGACTTCTCTGTGAGGAGTCATCAAAAGCAGGGTGAGCTCTGGAAACAGGAGATATGGTAAAGAACCACAGAAAACAGACAGAAAAAATGGAAGGGGAAGTGCAGTAGAACAAGAAGAATAATAAAGCCTGTCTCTGGCATCTCCCCCTTCACCTGCATTTCTGTGACAGAGATTCACTGTACAGAATGCCCCGAAGAAAACAGGAAAGCTTGAAGGCTGGACCATCCTCCTGTGTTTGCATTCCTCTGCCTTTCTTTCTCCTCACAGCTCTGACATGGAAGGGGCAGAACAAATGCAGTTTTGGCATAAGCTGTGCAGGCCTGCCCCAGCACGCACAAAGCAAACACAGACATAAGGAATTGGGCTGAGAGAGGAACTAAACTACATCATTTTAATTTTTTTCTTTTAATTCTCAAGAGCTTCCTCTGCAGGTGGACGGTGGGAGGGAGATGTGTGTGTTTCAGATGTTTTGGAGTTTAGAACAGCAACCCTGAGGGTAAATTGACTTTTTTTCCCTTTTTTCTTTCCTGAGCACTGCACTCAAGCAGGAGCCTTCCCATTGCCTTGGCTGCTGGATGAGGTTTGGACAGCAGAAGCCTTAGTCAGGTTACTGAGGTTGTCTTTCTCTTGTTTTGAAAAGTGCTATAGGATTTCTAACACCCACCTAAAGCCAAGCTTTCAAATTACTCCTTTAAACATTATGAAAAAGAACATATTCATAGCTCTTTATAAGATACAGTTGACATAACTCCTTCTCCTGGGGCTGCTGGAGCAAAAAGAGAAATCTGTAGACAGTGATGAAACACTCAGATCCTTTTCCCTTATGTCCCTGTTCCCATCATGAAAATTCCAGACCAGGGTAAGGGAGCTGATTATCAGTGGCAGCTCTGGAGCCTTTATGTGCCAGCCCCCAAGAGCACAGACATATAAATCCATCAATGCAAGCATGATAAAAATTATTTTATCTGCTTTTTTAACATTAAAAAAACCTCACAGGGGAAATCCAAAACGAAAAACAATCTGCGAAGCGTAAAATTAGGCTTCAGAGAGTAAAACAGTATCATTCCTAAAGAACAACATAAGAATTTTCCCTCTTAATGGCATCCAAAAGATCACTAACTTCAAGTTCCTGCTTGCTGCTGCAAAGAGCTTCCACAGTAATCTCATGGCTTAGCAACAGCTGCAGGAGAACTGACACACACTGCAGAAACTTTCCCTCCACACTGCACTCTCAGAGAAAAAGGCAAGCTCCACACCAAGCCACAGTTGTAATTTATTGCAAAACCCAAAAAAATACACTTAGGGGACAAAAAAAAAACAAAACAAAACAAACCCAAACCAACCCAACTCTTTTTTTTTTTTTAAGGTTTTCAAACCCATGGAAAGCAGCTGTTAAATGACTATGTTGTGGTCTTGGAAATTCAGAAATTCAGACGTCTCTGTCTCCAAATGCTCTGAGGGTCAGTCTGGGTGGGACTTGGTTTGCAAAGTCAGCTCTGCACTCTGCAAGGAGCCAACATCCACAACTCCCTGCTCAGGGCCTGGCTGGAAACAGTCACTCCTCATCCTCAGCAACACAACAGCCATGGACACGACTTTCCAAAGGGTCTCATCCCCATTTATCACCACTTGAACCAGTTATCTCCAGAACCAATTCTCTCCAGAAAGCTGAAAGCCTAAACCATGAAAACCCAACACAGCAGAGACCAGTGCAGCTCCTAGAATCTCCTTTTTCCTTTCCTGGTTATTTATTTCAGATGAAAAGCAACCACAAGAGCAAACAAAAGCACAGAACTCCTACAAGAACAGAACATCCACCCTCACAGCTCCACATGGATGAAATGCACTGAGAAATTAGCTGCTAGATACAGATTAGCAGAATGGGTGAGCAAAATAAGCATGTTTTTAAGGTTGATCTACCACAAAGGCACTTGGGTCCGGAATTCAGAGGAAGTTCTGAACACTGGTGACTACAAAAAGAGGACATGAACAGGAGATGCTCTCAAGCCAAAGGTGAGACAAGAACTGGAATGCAAACACTGCAACAAAGCTCAGTAACAAGGGAGTTTAAGCTAGAAGAAGAGAGCAGCACCTATATCTAAGTAGGTGGTTTTGCATTCCCACAGCTCTGCTGGTATTTCTGCCTGTCCATGTTCTTCCACTCCTCATGCCCACACTCTCACTGCCTTGCTAAGGCTGCAGCTGTGCATGGTGGCATTTGACAACAACTTTAGCACCTGTTTGGAAAATAGTGCTGAATCAAACACCTTGCCAGAAAACAAGAAAAGATTTCTTTTTAGCAGTGGTGACTTGAAAAAAGCCAACTCAAACCCCTGGTGCCCTGCTTGTTCCTACTGATACATTACAGAGTACCTCAGAGGGAAATTCTTCCATGATCTTGGAAAAAACTGTCTTATAATTTCAAGCATTAGTTTAGTAAATGGAAGAGTCTGTACCTCTACAGTGACACACAAAAAACAAGCACTTTAAATGTGAATCTATTCTCTGTTCAGGGGCATGGAACTACAGAATAACATTAAAAACACAGCATTTGCTACATGAAGTGCTACCTGTTATTTCTGGGTTCCAAAATGGGTTTGCTGTGCTTTTAAGCTGTTATTCTAGAAGAGGGTGGTGGGGTTTTTTCCTCTAAGATTCTCATTTACCAAGGGAGCAATAAACCCGTATTTTGTAATGCTGACTTTTTCCCCCTTCAGAAATTCTTGTAACATAAATAGATATTAAATACTTTAAGGCAGATCACTTTATTTAAAATGTCTATAAATATAAAATGCATTAATAAGACCTCTTAATGCTTGTTTTGTGGTTTGACAGTAAACGTAATGGCTTACAGAGAGGAGTTAAGTTAATATACCCCTGACCAGTAATGTTCTATTTGCTTAAATGCAAGCATCCAAGCCAAAATTAACATTCTGGTTTCTTTTAGAGGCAGCTTGCCATCCTGCAGTATAGCTGAATAAGCACTGCCTAATATCATGGGGCAAATCCTGTTCCCCAGCTAACAATCACCCAAGGCTGACAGGGAGGCAAGAACAAAGATCCCAAGCAGTCAAGAGCTTGGCTTAAGGCCTCCCCAGACCCCATGATTCTCTCTCTGAAATACATTTTTCTGAATTATCCTTCAGCTTCTTTTCCTGAGATGAAGGTCAGCTTTCATTACACAAATGTAACATCAAAATCCCCTTTGATTCCCCTGAATTCCACGTGGTTTTATAACCACAGAATAAAGGATTTATGCAATGATGCCATCTATGTGTTTGCCTATCCTTTTTCCTCACTATCTTTTGGTCCTGCCAGTCACTCTCAAGCAGTTTCCTTCAGAGGCCTGAAAAATGTTCCTAAGAGTGTGGGAATGTAGGTGGCTGAGGGAGAGACGCTCCCACTGCCCCTCTGAAGAGCTGAAACATGAATTCAAATCCTATCAGACATCAGAAAAACTCACACCAGTGAGCCCCAGGAGCAATGATCTAACAGTGGGAAGCATTTCAGCTGGACCCTGCACCTGAGGAGATGTCACATGGATGTGCTCCTCATCCAAGAGTCCTCTTCCATGTGCTCTCCCTGGTGTCTAATAAAGGGGTGAGCTCACCCTACAGCATCAGAGCCCAGCTTAAAAGCCCATCAGCCTAATCCATAGGAAACTAACCTTCAATATTTGTTTAATAAATCGGTTTAGAGAACCCAGCCCATCTATGAGCACCTCCCCACACAGATTTATTCACACCTGGCAAGCTGATGGTGCTGAGATGTTCTGCAGCCCCTCAGCCTGGACAGACAACAGGATTCAATGACCCACAGCCACCTTTTGTTAAAGACCTAGTCCATCAGTCTGTTCATCTCTAACAATCTTCAAAGGCTGGAAAAGCTGCACAACACAGACATCCCCAATGGCCACAATGAAATCATTGACCTGCTGGCATGAGGATCATCAAAAGCAACTGCAGAGCCACAGTGGAGCCCCCTCAAGTGACAACTGTGAGAGTACACTGGGAGGCAAAATAAAAGGTAGAGGAAGGGACACAGAAAAGCAGCTCATTAATGGAAAAGACTAATCAACCTCCCACTCAATCAGCCTCCAGGAGGGCTCCCTCACACCAACGCTTGATGAAGGAACACAAGACCTCTTAAAAAGCTGTTCCATAGCTGGTTTATGCCGAGCATCCATCTCTTCACTGGGAAGCATGACCAGGCAATTACTGTTCAGGACTGTTATTTTTTCCCAAGCCAATTTGCTGCTCATAAACACCAGGAGAGGCACAGTGAGGAGAATGAGCTGTTCCTGGATATTACAATAGCATGGGCAAAGGAATATGAGCTTCCTCCAAGACTTCCTTGTGCAAATGCCTCTGCAAGGACCCCTGCAGGCTCTGAGCAGAGTTTTCCATGTCTACATCCAATTTAGACATTACCTCCTTACTGGCACTGCCAACAGCTGAGTGAGCATTCCCTGTGGGAGGCTTTGTGTTCCCTTATCAGCTGAGCCAGAAGGCCCCACTACAGGGACAGCTCACAAAGTAACACCCACACTTCCCATGAGCCTGCAATTTCCAAAGATTCCCCTCACTCCCAAAAGATATCCCTAGGATTTCTAAAATGATTTCAAGCCAAACTCCATCAGCTACTCATAGGTATGATCAGCACCACTTCATGCAGCCCTGGGGTGAAAAGAATGGGATCAGCCAGCAGTTTGGTGATAAGTTTGCCACATTTTCTACATCAAGGGAAGCAGCCATTTTCATTGTGTAAAAATGAGAGATAAAAATCATTTTGGACTTAAAGCCAGGTCTTCTGCTGGAAATCAATATGACTGCTGGCTTTAACTACCTATAACAATGAGCCACATCTCTTGTGAAATAGGTGAGCCATAGGAATCATTAGGAACCCAAAAAACATGTCAGACAAGACCCTCCTCCAAGATAAACCACAGCAGCACCAAAAGCCTGGTAGAAAACACCACTCCTGAACCCCTATTTCCTAAGTGAAAACTTGCATTTTCAGTTTTTAAAATGGTTTTTTATTGTGGCACATACCTGGAGTAACACAAATGGAGAAGAGGCACATAACACAAGAAAACCAAAACCTTTTCTCATACCCGAAGGTCAAAACAGTTCTTGATTTCTGCTGCGATGTCAGCTTTATCCTACCCTCTGTACGTCCTGCTTACTTTTGTTTCCTCTTTTGAGAGCAAGGTGCCTACTTACCATATTCATAACAGTGAGGATGAACCTCTGGGCAGCCTCTGCTCCGTGGTACTGCACCATGTCAGCATCTGCCACCACCAGCGTCTCCACCGTGTACTCGCTGGTGAGGCGGATCGCGTTCCTCCGCTCCCGCCAGTCGCTCGTGGCCTTCACTTTCTTCTGTCTCTTCTTTTCTGAAAAGCCAAAATGCCTTTTAAGGCTGGCAGATCACAATAAAACACTCCCAGCCTTTTCAACAAACATTCAGGTGGTAACAACCTTTAAATTGAAGTGCTCTTGGCTGGTTAAAGAAGAGGTTGCATTGCAGGTATGTCTGTGCCTCTGGGTGCAGAGGGCAGCAGATGATGTGAAAAGAGCGAAGGTGGTGGGAAAAAACATAAGTTCAGGAAAAAGAAAAAAGTAACCAATTCAAAAATGTTACAGATAAGTTAAATCTCCCTTTCTCCTAACTAAAGCACTGATGTATTAATAATTTGTCTTCTTCTAAGCTGAAAGGTGAACTGTGTTTCACAGGCAGATATGCAAAACAGCATGAGGCATGACCAAAGCAGAAATTAAGTTCAGATATTAATTCAAACCTCCTCACTTCACTGCAGCCACAAAATTGTGTTCATGCTTTCAATTGTAAAAGTAAAGAAGCAAACGAAGCAACTAAAACACATTTATTCTTGCAATAAGAGACTTCTAAGATTCACTGAAATGATCTCTGCCTGCTGTTCAGCCTGTGATATACTATGGGTATTGGCACTGCTATTACTATTGATTTTTTCCTGTGGAAAAGGGAACAGAACATACAAATCCTGAAACAGCACAAACACAACATTCAGTGCAAAACTGACATGGGACAGAGCCTAACGGATGATCAGACAAATCCCTCTTATGTCACACAAGACGTGCTGCTCATTCCCCAGAGCAGAGAATCACTTTTTAATTTTCTCTAGATTTACCCTGAGACCCTCTCTGAGCAAAGCAGCAGCCAGAGGTGAGCTGGTGTTCACTGATCCTGATTTTCCACAGCCTGTTTACCAGCTCCCTGACATAATTCAGCTTGAATTTCCCTTCTTTCCCAGATCATCAGTTTTCCCTGACCGACCCTCCTGCATTCAGGGTGACAAACTACATCAGCTGCAAGCCCCCCAAAGCCCACCTGAAATGGACTCCCTGCCTTCACCCATTCATGCATTTTCTGCCTTGTTAGTATGCACATTTCACCACGTCCATCCCATCTCCTCATTCCTGGGTTTCTTCAGTCATCCAGTACAACTCTGCACGTGCTTTTCTGCCCAAGGCATCAACTGTCAACACTTGGTACATATTTTAAACTGAGAAAACAACCATGAAATTTGATTTTTTTTCAAAGAGAGTTTGGAAATATCCCCCTGGGTTGAAAGACAGACAGGAGTCTATGGACAAGAAAAAAAAAAAAAAAAGAAATTGGGGGGGGTGATCATAAATTATGGAAGCTACATGCCAGCAGCAAAGATGAAAATAACCAAGTTTCAAGGTCTGTTTTCACATAGGCTACACAACAGCTACAGAAAAAGTGCACAATCATGGCAAAGCTGTCCCAGAGCAGAGGATCTCTATAATAAAAATAAAATAAATAAAATTTAAAAGATTGAAATACAAGAAAGAACAAGAAAGAAGGAGAGCTCAATGCACCTTTGATTTGACAAGTATGAGATGGAGATGGCTTTGAACTCCTATGGAACAGCTCACATGTTTGTGTGTAATTTTATTTCTTTCATTCCATTCATTTCCCATCCCTCCCTCTGCACAGCAGCACATCTTTAGCTACAAGTCCTCAACATTATCATTTAAATACCAAGGAGAAATCAAAGAAAAAAGAAAAGAAGGTAAATTATTTCAGTAAAAACACTGACATTTTGGGTCTTACTGCTTCCTGAAAACAGCAGCATTTCCTCATTGAATTCTTATTTTGGCAATCCCCTAATAAATGTTTCCAGGTGGTATAAATCTCTTACTTGTAGAGAAGTTGCTCTTATGGTGGGCTCAGCCTAGATTCAACTAAGCCTAGATTCAGCCTGGCATTGAATGAGCTGTGTAAAAAAGTTTAAGTGGAAGGAAAAAATTGCAGTTCTCTGTATTTTCCCTTAAAAAAAAATCACTTTTTTTGGTGGAAAAGAAGAAATTTGTGTCAGAGGAGGAACTGACTCTGCTGGACTGGAGCTTGCACTGGGGAGAAGAGGTCATGCCATGGTCACTTGCCAGTGTGGTTCCTCCTCCAGAGGCAGGTGAAGGAATTGTAGCAGAACAAAACTCTGCAAGCTGTGACTTCTGGAGAGCAGCAGCCTAAGGAGACTCCTGGCAGAGAGCTGGGCAGCCTTGGCTCACACACAGCCTCTGCCCACCTTTCCTCCTGTGGACTGGCTGCTTTCCACAGAGGGCTTGGGATTGGAGGATGTGTGTGGAAAACCAGCGCCTCACAGCCAGAGTGACCTGACAGGAGAATCCAGGCTCCTGCTTTACCCTCACCTTCACACTGTCCAAGTGTAAATTTACCTGCACTTAAAACAGGCAACAGGACTCGAGGGAGCCCACAAAGAGCTCAGGAGGTCACTGCTGAACCCTCCACAATAGGCACAGCAACACCAGCTACTTAAAAAAGAGAGGTTTTTCAAGTTTGTAGCTCCTCCATAGGGTAAATTGTTTTGTCATTTCTGTCCACTTTCACAGTGGTCTCTTTTTGCATCCTCCTGCCTACCACTATTTTCCAGAATAATCAAGCCTATGGAGAAAACAAGGCATTTGCATGGATGAACCACAACAAAGAGAAAGAAAATGCACATGTCCTGTATCACAGATGTTTGATGAAGACAAAGATCCAAAACCAGCAGGAAAAATCCTCATTAAGTGCATTTGCAGCTCATACCTGAAAGTGAGTCAGTTTTATGGAGGTATCCAAAGAATAAAAATACCCCATCTCTAGAGCCTCACTTCAGAAACAAGCCAGCACAGAGAAGTCTCATTCCTGCCCTGCAAGATTTATGGACCATGGGCAGAGAATCCCTCCATGAGTACATGAAACCCCAAACTAAAATAAACATCAGCCATTAAACCAAGGATTAAATGCCTGCTGGATTCTTTATTTGAACAAACTGATGTTACAGATTTTGTGGTGCAGATGTCAAGTGTTAGTGTGAAGGCATAAGAGGCCATAAACCACGGGCAGGAGCTGTCAGAGGAGTTTACATTGCAGGGAGCACACAGCACATGATTTTAGGAGTCAGGTGTTCCCTGCTTAAGAGGTCAGAGAATTTAGCATGAAATATGAGCTGAAACAGTCAATCTGCAACACAGCATGTACATGCTGCAGGTGACTGGGCACAGGGGACATTACTCTTTGGCCAGCCACTCTGACAGTGTGTTATACAGTCTATCAGGCCAAAAAATCCACAAAATTCAGGGCTGTGAGGTGAAGGGAGAAGGGTGAAACACCCCCAGATCCTCAGCAAAAAATGGCGGTGACACTGCACAAGTTCATTAGGTGACTTTCATTTACCCTTGCCTGGCTCACCACCTTCAAAGCCACATGATCACACCACGTCCTGCAGTCTTTGAAGTCTCCCTCAGAATGTGAAGAAGCAGAGTCCCCACTGTGATCAGAAGCACAACAAGGCTCTTCTGAGGCCTCTGTAGAAAACTCCTGACGTTCAGTGCTTTTGATGGCAACTCAACAGATGTGCAATTCCAGAGCAACCGCCCCAAATGACCTTTTCCTATTACACACCAAAAGCACTGTCTAGCACTGTCTGGCTTTTGGCAGATTCTTGCTGTAAGTGCAGAGTCCTTTCCTGTTCCTCCTACCTCCCTTCCAACTGTATTTCCCAGACTCATCTAAAAGCAACATTTTCTCCTACAGCCTTCTCTATTTTTTCCTGCCTAATCTTTCCCTTTGTAATTTTAGCTACCTCATTCTTGTTAAACCCACTGATGGTTTCTGGATGCCGTTCAACAAAAGCCACAAATAAAAGTTAAACTGCAGAATGCTTTCTGCAAGGCCAGATTTCTCCTTAGAAGCTCTTTTCTATTGCTGCCTTAAAAACCCTCTCCAGCTCTTCCTCAGGAGCCCTTTGCTCCCTTCCCTCCTCCCATGACCCCTTTAACATCTCCCCACACCCTTGATGGAGGGCAAGCTCTGTTTTACCATGTCCTGTTATTTCAGCAGCATAAAAATGAAGAGAGGGCATCCGAGTGGGGCAAACAGCTAAAATTAATTTTCCCTAAGCCCCAGGAGTTTCCAGAGAATCTCTGACTGGTACTCACATTAGGCAGGTTTTATTAGCTTCACCTAAAAGTAAAAATCATCACCTCTCCAAAGTGAAACAGAAAGAAAAGGGAGATCCTGCACACAAACCAAGCCTAGAAATTACAGAAAAGAAGCCCTTGAGGTGTATTCTTACTACTCAACCTAAAATCCTCTGCTGAATTATGAGAGGGACAGGATGCCACAAAATGTCCCTGGTTCCAGCAGCAGGATAGAAGCACCTCCCAAAAGGTGATTAATCCCAGTCATGGAGACATGGAGCCCCTTTGCCTCTGCCAGGATGCAGCACAAGAATTATCTCTGTGCCCTGGCTTCTTATAGCTCCATGAAACCTTGGAATTTCAGATTTACCACAGCCAGCTGATGCCAGTAGATTGCCTGAAATTCAGAAATTACAAAGGGTTGCTTATTGAAAGAACAGCTGATTACAGATTGAGAGCTCTCCTCTCATTTTTAACGCCCTGTCCTACAAAACTGCATCTCCAATTTCTCACTGACTGGAATGGCAAAATCAGGCATCAACTGCTAGGAAAAATTATTGCAGAGCAGGATGATCCATTATTCCCTAATTCACCTTCCAAAAATGGCTTTGTTTTGCTTTGGGGGTTTTTTGTTTATTTTTTTTCTCCCAAACAGTCACTTTCATACCAAATCACAAGTTCATGACTATTTCTCTGGCACAGCAGCAAACAAGAACTTGAGACAGAAGTCATGAACTCTGAGCTGCATCTCAAAACACCACAGATTTTACTGCAAGGATTGTTATCCAAGTTACTCTGTGGCTTGGACACATCAGTTAAAACCTTATTCTTCTGCAAAACAAACTCAGTCATCAACACAACTCATCAGGACTTTGCTTTAATGGCAGGTCAGGATAAGCACTGT